CACGCAGTTATTTTCCGCAGTAAGTTTAAGAAAAATCATGTATATGTCTATATGATTCAAAGGTTTCAAGTATGTATGTTTAAAAAGTATACGTACATATGTATGTTAAGAAAACCAAGGTTGTAGCTAACAACCCTAGTTTTGAGTATTTAAGTTTTAGAACGTTGCAACAGTACATGCGATAAATAAATGAATTTTAAACATGACGATTAAAATGAGTAATTTTAGAAGGACTTTAAGATGTACTTGAATTTAAGATTTCTCACGAAATCCGTTTTAAAGTTAAATGAGATGGCCGATTGAAATGACTAGTTTTAGAAAAGCTTTTAAAGAGTATTTGAAACAAGAGTTCAAATGCTATTCCGTTTGAAGGATATTCCTAAAAGGTTTTATCTTAACTAAAATTAAGAAAAGCTTTAAGAAATTTAGTGATTCACTTATTTGAAATTATTGTTACAAATTATGAAAGTATTCCTTCTTATATAAAAAAAAAAAAAATGTTCCGCATATTTTAAGAAACCCCAGTAAGTACAAGTTAAAGTTTAAGTTACAGTGGTGGCCTCATAGGAAGGTCGACACAGAATCCATGCAAGACTATCTCTAATTCTTTTAATGTGATTACCCATTTCTTTTAAACTGGATTTAACAATTAAATTAATTACGTGACATGCACAACGTTGGTGAAAAATAGTACCGTTACCGAATAAACTTAAATCATTTTCAAAAAACTCAATTGTTTTTGTATTGACACTAGCATTATTTAATGTTATAACCATTATTTTATCTCTTAATCTAAATTCATCAATTACATTTAAAATGGTATTATATATTAAATCTGCGTTATGTGATCCTAGAACACATTTAAAACCTAATATTCTCTTATCTAAATCAAATCATTTATAGTAATGTCTGATTACAGCTAAATAATCTTTATTGGCAATGGCAGACTAAATATTTGCCGTTAACGCAATGCACCCGCTAGTTGAGTCTAAAAGGTTTATTAATGCTTCTTTATCTTTTTTAAATAATTTTAATAAATCTTTCCTAAGAGTAGTTTTTGAAGTGAACTGTGCATTCAGATTATGTACAACCTTAATATATCACTGCCAATTAGGATGCTCTACAAAACTAAGTGGTTGATCTAAAGCAATTATCATTCGCGTAACTTCCATACGATTTACTCGCGGATCGTATTTTTAAGTGGTTAGACCACCGGTTGCGCGATCAAAGGATAATTGTGTTTGGCGGAGTTTGGGTCTGCCGGATTGGCTAAGCTTTTAAAGACACTTTTCGGAGTGTCTTCTCAAGTGTGTGGTGCGTGAATTGTGTCACCTTATAATTTAGATAAACAATATTTACACTGAGCTATATGTTTAGTGTTACCTTCATTGTCGATCTGCTCAATTGTGTTGAACTGATCCCAAACTGTCGATGTGCACTTACATTTCCTTCTAGAGGTTGTAACACTTGCAGACGCAGATGAAGTCGCACTGGCACTCGCCGCTTCTCCACGCCCACCACTATTGTGACCACGACCTCTAATACGTCCACCAGGGCTCCGATTAGTAGATTCCTGCGTAACAAATTCATTAGTGAGAAATTACCTTTCTTCCACGTTGTGTTGGGCATTAACAGGAATACCACTATAACCAAAATGATCCATTATAAAAAAAAATAAGAGTGATTTGAGAGAGAGAGAGCTTTAGGATAATGTGATAGTTTTTGGAAAAATTGTGAGAGAGATTGAGAGAGATTGAGAGAGATTTTAAATTGAGAGAGATTGAGAGAAATTGAGAGTGATTGAGAAAGTTTGAGTGAGAAATATGTATGGGGGATGGGGGTATTTATAGGGAAATTTTTAGGTTAAAAAATTGATTTTTTTTCAAAAAAAATCGGGTGCAACGGCTACTTTAGGGTTTTGGCGGGTCGGGTTCGGGCTGGTTCGGGCGGCAACGGTAAAAAAACTAGCCGTTGGACGGGTTTTAGGGCAGTTCAGGCAGGTTAGGCAAAATTGGGTTTTCGAGCTTATTTTTTAGTCGGCCAGCAACGGTCAAAATTTTGACCGTTTCTCGGATAGTCGAGCGGGTTGGGCATTCGGGAAAATCGGGCCTGGCCGGAAAATTTTTAAAAAACTTTGGCGGACAGCTGTTGGCGGCGCCTACACGACGACAGGCTCCGGCGTGGTGTCCATTTTCGGGCTGTCCGAGCCCAAATTTATAACTTTGGACAGGCCGAAATTTGGGCATGCCCGCCGAGCCCAAAATATTCGGGCCTCGGGCCGGCCAGCTGGCCCAAAGTTCCAACACTATAAGTAGGGCTGTAAAAAAATCACCCCGAAGCCGGCCGAGCAGAGCCGACCTTATTTGAAAATCATGGGTTTTTAATTTTAATTTAATTTTCAGTTTTAATTATGCCCAACCTACACTGTGTGGGTAGGGGTGCAGGGTGCTGACTTGGCCAAACTTGATGAAAAAGCAGGTAAAAAAGCCCAACCCTGATGTTTCTCACTTTTTCTCTGTCTCTAATTTTAATTTTACTTGTGCGGCAGCTCGCAGCCGCTCCTAGCCTCCTATCTCTCAGACTTTCCTCACTTTCTCTCTTTCAATTCCTTCTCTCTCTTCAAACTTTTCTCGGAAACCCTAAGGCCCCGTTCACTTCGCTTATTCGAGTTTAGAATTTGAGTTTAGATGTGACTTTATGTGAGAGCTTTTTACTGTAGCAAACTAATCAAGTTCATGAAAGTTTTTCTATACAAAAAAAAGGCTCATGAAGTTCATCTTCGATAATTTTTAAAATTAAACTAAAGTAAAGAACTAACAAAATACTTTAAGACAAAAAGTCTAAAAATTAGCGGGCTAGTTCAGGATTTCCCATCAATTTGAGTCCAAAAAATAAAAATAAAAACAAATCCTCCTAAATACATGTTCATTTTCAACAATGAATTCAATCACCAATGTGTAACAACAAATACATGATGTTTGGCTACTGGCCAACAAAATTGAAAAAACCTAAAACTCAAAAACTTAAAATACAAAACGATATAATCTTATGTAAAAGCGTGGGTTGATGAAACAATGACTACGCTTGACTTTTGATAGTAAGGTAACATATAAAAATTTTATAAAAACTGACTAAGAAAAATGACTACGCTTGACTAAGAAATATCTCAACTCTGCTTCTAAAATGTGTTTTTAGACGTTTTCTGAAACTGCCCAGAATTTCATAAAAAATGTCAAAAACTATTTCTTTGAGTTAGTTTTTGTTTTACTGTTTTTGGACCATTTAGAGGGCAATTTCGGGATTTTTAACCTAATGCCTTAAAGGTTTCGACGTTACAGACAAATTTTTGTGACTGCAAAAAATCACAATTCTGACTCTAGGACGTGTATTCGGGCTGTTTTCAAAAATTACGTAAAATAATATTTGTCAGCCACTATTTTTAAGATTTCTGACTGTTCTGAGGCCGAAGCTAATTTTTCACAAAACACAAAACTTTTAGATCGCAACGAGACGAAGAAACTTCACAAAGCTCAGATTTTAAGAATTCAACTCTAAGATGTAGTTAATTATAGATTAAGGAAAAACAAAAAAATTAACTTGTAAGATTTGAAACTGTTCAAATTCTAGCGAAGAACCTTTTTCAAAAACGTTTGA